GCCTCTGACTCTGGAGCCCAGGTGCGTGCCCTGGCTGATGGCAGGGAGTGGAGGCCAGGAGGTTCCCTGCTCGGCCCTGCTCAGGTTAGCTGTCAGGGGGCAGTGGGCTTCGGCTACTCTCCTGCCCCTCGCCCCCGAGTGTCCTGCCAGGCGGGCCTTCCCCGAGGGGCAGCCCTTGCCTCCCTCCAAGTCCAGGAGGAATGTAGGTCAGGGAACCTGACAACGCCGGGCGAGCAGAATTCACGGAGCCCTGAGTGATGGCGCCATTTGCTTCTATTTCTGGGCCGTAGATTATGCGCTGACAGTGTCAGAATCACAGTCACAGGGAGGGCTGGCCCCGGCGCTGGAGGAGGGGAGGGCGGCCCTGTCGGGGCAGCAGGAGAGGGGCTGGGGGGTGGGGGGCCCGGGGAAGCCTCGGCACGGGGCAGGTCGGAGGCAGCGTGGCGCGGGGGAGGCCACCGGCCCGCTGCACCTGTACGGGAACTCTGTATCCAGTGCTTACTGCCCGCCTGCTGCCTCGGCCAGCCTGATTCTCCAGCCCCAGGCCCGGCCCCGCCTGACCTACCCAAGAACTGGAGGTCAGGTGAATGAATGAACACGGCTTAGGATGGCCCAGCGGTCTCCGAGGGGCACGGGGCAAAGGGGTAGAGTCTCTACCACATTATGGCCTCAAGAGACAGAACCAGCCAGAAATAGCAGCAGGTTCCCCAAGGCCCAGATGCAGGGTTCTTAAATCATGCGACACAGGCAGCCTCCGAGGCCTCCGTCAGGGGGGCAGGGGAGGGTCGCAGAGCCAAGCCCCCCACCCCCCGCCAGCTTCACCACCCGGCGGCCTCGGGCATCTGGTACATGTACTGAGTCTTTGTAAATGCTTTCACCGGGGAAAAAACACTCTGCTGCTGTGTGGAGGGTGTGGGTCTAGCTCAGTTCTTGGCCTGTGGATCCTGACCACCCATGAGGAGAGCTGGGGCTTGTGGGGGGAGTGGGGGCACAAGCCCTTCTTGCCTTCAGTCACCGAATCTGAGCCAGGCCCTGAGCCCAGGGCCCCCACTGGGCAGCCTAGACGTGCCAACGCTGCTCCCGCCCAACTCCTCTGCGGACACCTCCCCAGGACTCACACTTGTCTGGGAAGGCAGATTTCAAACCAGCAGCAACTTGCCAAGTTGATGAGCCCTGGTTTTTTGGCTAGGAAACTTGGTCACCGGTTGGACAGACGACTGTGTCTTCCAGTGGCTAGTGTCCTGTTTGGCTCTGGTCCACGTTAGCCCCCTCAGACCCCGGCAGCCCACCTGACACGCAGACTGTGGCTGGCCACTGCCCCCCAGCACCAGGGAAGCCCGGGCCCTGGACGCTCTGACTTCCCTTCAGGTGACAGAGGTCGCAGGACCGGGGCCATGTAAAAGTCTGACCCTGGTGGGAGCTCACAGAAGGAAACCCTTTCACCGATGCACCTGCTTGATGGCAGCTAGCCACCAGGTCGGGCCGGCTGGGACTGAGGGAGGATGACAGCAGCCATGCCATCAACCAGCACACATAGGCTGTGCTGGATGCCTCTCGGGCACTGAGGAGCTCACTGTGTCCTGTGACAAGCCCGCTACAGGTGAGGGGGTCAAGGTCCTGAAAAGTGAAGGACTCGTCCTTAAGTAGTGCAGGGAGAACTTGGCCCCACCCGTGATCCTGGAAGCTGTGAGTTGAACCCCCACCCCAAGAACTGCCCCCCTCCTGCCTGGCCTCCTGCCGTTCCTGCTCCATGAGGCCAAGAGTGTCAGGGGTCAGCTGCCTCCCTTCAGCTCCCCCCTGCCCCGGGGATCTGGCAGCCCTGGTCCCTTCCTCCTGCTGGGACTGTGACCTCCCGCAGGCTCCAGCTGGCTCCCTGCCTGGGCCTGGCCTCCACCTGGGTCAGTGGGCTGGCCGGCCACACGCCTCCCCCTGGAGGAGCTGGCTAGCTCCCGGGAACGAGTTGCCATGGAAATGCGGGGTGGGCGCCTATAGAACGAGGTTCCCTCGCTCCCGGCGGCTCGGCCTCCCTCGGGCCGGCAGCCTCTCCGCCCACGGCTCCCTGCTCCTGGACTCCCTTGCTGGCCAGGCACCTGCCAAGGTGGGCAGACATCAGCTATAGAGAGGGGAAGGCCCGCGAGAGGCCAGGGGTTCAGATCCCAAACCAAGAGACCAGATAGCAGGCAGCAGTCCTGTGGGGTTGGGGGGGCAGGGTGCAGGTAACAAGGAAGGCCGAGAAGTTCCGCACAACTAACCAGGGAACGCAGTGTTAATTTGGGAGCGATCTGAACGGCCCGTGCTGGGACCTTTCAATAAACATGCCACGGGGCTTCATCTGCCACGGCTGTGGGAGTCGGGGGGCGGGGTGTGGCCAGATTTTCCCAAGCAGGTTACAGAACCGTGTGCAGAGCGTGTTACAGATATTAAATCTATGCATGCTCCGTAGGTGGATGAGGGTCTGGAACAGCAGCGACCTGTAGGTGGCAGGATTACAGGTGATTTAAAATTTTACTCTTGTTTTCTAATTTGTAAACTTTCTATAGTGAATACCTACTGCATCATTTTTTTTTTCAAATGTTGGTTGGATTTTTTCCCCATGTCTGAGGAAGAGCCGTTGTAGGCCGACAATTTAGATATCCACTGCAGTTTCCAGAAAAGCTCCCAGTGCACAGCTGCAGTGAATTATCACATAGTGGCAATCAATCCTCCACCTTTCCCTGGCCCTCCTGCTGTGCCAGGCATGACGGGGGACCAGCTTGCCCCAGTGCACTGGGATGTCCCTGTTTGAGCCCTGAATGTCTTGTGTCCCAGGAACCCCCTCTGTCCCAGGCACACTTGAGAAGGCTGGTCACCTGGGCCTGACCCCCTCCAGGAGGTAGGTGTCTGTGATCTCATCGTCCTGGTGAGGAAAGGTGAGTGACTTGTCCAAGGTTGCACAGCCAGGAGGCTCCCAGACTGAGATGCAAACCCAGGTCTCTGTGACACTCGTGAGCTTGGCCGTCACACCACGATGCCTGGTCTCCTCTGTCACCTGAAGAAGGGTTTCCAGGTGCTGTGATTGATAGGGGTCTCCAGGGGCCTTTCTAAGGGTGGGGACGGTTTCCTCGGAGGTTCCTCCCCCCATTGGCTGTCTGGATGCCACTGTGATCAGCTGGGTGAAACCGGAGCCTTGGCACCATGCCTTCCTCTAACAGCACAGAGAGACAGAGCACCCCTTCCAAGACCACACAGCATGGAGTGGGTGGGCGGAGGCAGGATGGATGAAGACCCAGGCCTCCCCCGAGCTCCCAAACGGGAGAAGAGCTCATGCCCCTGGCCATTCACCCCAGGCAATGACTTCACAAACATCTAGAGACTTCCATTCCATGCCTGGCCCAGGGCACAAACCTGTGAATGAGGGGGCCCCGGCCCCGGCCTCCATGGAGGGATGGTGCAGGGAGGCGGGGAGGAGCCGATGCCGAGTATCTCGCCAGCCAGAGGGTTGCTTGGCTGCAGCTGGGCGAGTGACGAGGAGGGTGAACGTGATGTGCTGGGAACGCGCCATTCGGGGCCTGACCTGGTGGTGAGGGAAGGCCTCTCTGAGGAGGTGACGTTCATGCCAAGGCCTGAAGGATGAGGGAGAATAAGTCAGTGGGGGAGGGAAAGGGCGGAACCCTCTGGAAAGGAGGAGCCGCAGGGATGAACGGTCCCATCTCCAAGGCTTTGTCTTGTCGTCTGTAACAGGGGGACGGTGTGGTTTGGTTGCTGCGGAAACTAGTGTGACGAGGTCCCGCCTAAAGAGACACGTAGCATCACCGTAGGACGCGGTGACCCCACCCGTGGGTGTGCGCCCACAAGAACTGGAAACAGGCGCTGAGAAATACTCGCACGCAAACATTCGTAATAGCCGGGAGGTGCCCGCCGCCCAGATGTCTGCGGACAGATGGACGGAGACACCAACCGTGTACATCCAGACAGGGGAGTATTATTCAGCCTTGGCAATGAGGAACGGGCCCGTGCCGCGGGGATGATCCCCTGGATGCGAAACGTCCAGAAGAGGCCGATCCATCGAGACAGAACGCAGACAAGTGGGCTGTGGGGAGGGCGGGGGCTGGTTGCTTACTGGGTACGGGACCCCCTTTCGGGGTGATCAACATATGCAGGAACTGGATAGAGGTGATGGTTGCCCAGTCCTGTGAATGTACTAAATGCCACTGAACTGTGCACTTAAAAGATGGTTCGTTGTAAGTGACGTGAATTTCACCTTAACTTTTAAAGATCAGGGATGGAGGGGCGCCTGGGTGGCTCAGTCGGTTGAGTGCCTGCCTTCGGCTCAGGTCATGATCCCAGGGTCCTGGGATTCCCTGCTCAGCAGGGAGACTGCTTCTCCCTCTCCCTCTACCCCTCACCCCGCCCCCATGCTTGCTTGCTCTCTCTCTCTCAAATAAATAAAATCTTTTAAAAAATAAATTAAAAAAAACAGGGGTGGTAATGTGCTGCTCTCAACGCAGCAGGAACCTCAGTGAGGTCCTTCGAGAACAATCACCAGCCAGGGCAGTGGATCAGGCCCTCCGAGGGGCCCCCAGGGGCCAGCGATGCCCCCCGATGACCCACTCTTTCATGCAGCACCTTTCCTGAGCACCATGAAGAAATTGGGTCCGGACCCTCCCAGAGCATCTGTAGCATCAGGGAAGAGAGAGACGAGAGAAATCCTAAGAAAGTGTGTGATGTGTCAGGGCTGGGAAACACTGTAAGGAGGGAGTCCGGGAGGGGTAGAGAGTACCAGGGCTGTGGTGAACAGGTGGTCGGGAAGGCATGAGCCAGTGGATAGCCCAGGAAAAGGGCGCTCAGCCGGAGGGAACAGCACAGGCAAAGGCCCTGAGGTGGAAACATGCCCGGGGTGAGTGTGGCTGGAAGGAAGAAAGCAAGATGGGGTGGGGGGTGCTGAGCTGTGAGGGGACACTGACCGTCCCTCGGGCCTCTCTCTTTTTCTCTCTCTCTCTCTCTCTCTCTCTCGCCCACAGCTCTGCTCCTGGACATCATGACGGTGGCCGGCGTCCAGAAGCTCATCAAGAGGCGCGGCCCGTTCGAGACGAGCCCCAGCCTCCTGGACTACCTCACCATGGACATCTACGCCTTCCCTGCCGGGCACGCCAGCCGCGCGGCCATGGTGTCCAAGTTCTTCCTCAGCCACCTGGTGCTGGCAGTGCCCCTGCGCGTCCTGCTGGTGCTCTGGGCCTTCTGCGTGGGCCTGTCGCGCGTAATGATCGGCCGCCACCACATCACGGATGTCATCTCGGGCTTCATCATCGGCTACTTCCAGTTCCGCCTGGTGGAGCTGGTCTGGATGTCCTCCAACACCTGCCAGATGCTCATCTCTGCCTGGTGAGCCACCTGGCCGTGGCTCAGGACCTGGGGTGGCCCGAGAGAGGGGACAGGAGCAGCAGGGCCGGCGGTGGGGGGGGGGGACAGCGGCAAACCCGCAGCCTCATCTCCCCCACCTCGGTTGGAGGCTGGCGACCTCGGCCAGGCCGCCCCGAGGGCCGGTGTGGCTGGTAGTGCCTGGTGTCCCCGCTCCTGCGCTGAGACTGTGAGCGTCCTCTCGAGGCAGGCCGGGCACCCGTGGGACAGCCGCGCTTTGCTTCTGCCCTGGAGGAGGAAGGCGAGAACCAAGGTGGCAGGAGCAGGGCCGAGTCTTGTCCTGTCCCTTTGTCATCGTGACTGCTGAGTGCTTGGCCATGCCCCCCATGCCACAGCGCGATGCCTGGCAAGACACCCCCAGCCAGCGCCCAACCCAGGTGCCACTGCCATTAACAGCCATCGATAGCTTAGGGCAGCCCTTTCCCCAAGGGTGCCCTGCCGGACGCCGGCCTGCAAGACGCTTCTGGAAGAAAAAGGGTTTTGTGGTCAAATAACCTTGGGGAATGCTGCGTACTCTGCCCCCATGCTGGCCGTTCACAAGGGCCGTTGTTGTCATAAAGGCTCTGACAAGTCCTGTAGAAACGCTTCCTGTCAGACCCGGTTTAACTCCATGTTTCCTCAACTTATTTGGCCATAGACCCCTTTTCTCGAGGAACAGCTGCAGACCCCCAAAGATCCGCCGCCTCTTCAAGCACGTTTTGGGAGATGCTGCCCGGGAGCCGGAGGGCCTGAGCGAGAGTGGGCCTCTTCCAGCGCCCGGGGAGGCCCGGTGTCGCGTGCCGCCTGCGGAGAGCCCCCGGCCACGGGCATCGGTGCCGCTTTGGCCCCCAGGGGCCGGACTCCGTGTGACCTGATAGGTCATTTCCAAGTACCCGTTATGGATGTGCGTTTCATGTGACAATACAGATGACATGCAGCGGACCCTCTCCCGCGTGCTCTCTCTCATGTGATGCACGTTTCCGGGCAGGACAGTCTCTGTTGACAACCAGGGTGGGATTTCTTCAGCCCCAGACGGGCTAAGGTGTCAAGTGGTCAGGGGGCAAGGGGCTCCTAGACTTTTCCAGGCTGGTGGGTCGTTCTCCCTGAGGTCACTGTCTGGGGGTCCAGGGCCTGGGTCATGAACAGCTCGGGATGCCCCTAAGGTGCCACCGTCGGGGTCTCCCCTGGGGGCCCGGACCCTCTCTCGCTCCAGCCTCAGGTCTCCCCGGCTCCTTGCCCCCGAGCCAGTGGACAAGCCATCAGGCCAACACAGGCGAGCCCGAGGAGAGCCATGACGAGGGGCGCCAGGGGAGCTCGGGCCGGGGGCCGGCCAGGAAGGAGGGGAAGAGTGTTCTAGGCGGGGGAGGAGGGAGCAAAGAGGCTGTGCCTGTCACAGATGAGAGGGAGCCCCACACGGCTGCGCCCAGAGGGCAGGGTAGGGGGGAGACGCGTCAGGCTGGGGCCGAGGCTCGGGGTTCCAGGAGCGAGCGCTTAGTGTGTGAGGGCTCGACACCTTATGTCAGGCCTCTGACGTGGGGCCACTGACGTGCCCATGGTGCAGAGGAGTAAAAGAGGCCCAGAGAGGGGAGGTGACTTGCCCAAGGTTGCAGGGGGCAGTATGTTGCAGCCCACCGCCCACGTCCCCGCCACTCGGCTCGGCGTCCAGGGCTATCGTAGAGAAGTGCCACAAGCCAGCGGCCTAAAGCCCCTGCGAGACTTATTGTCTCACAGATCTGGAGGTAGAGGCTCAAAATCAAGGGGTCCCCGAGGCCATCCTGCCTCTGCGACTCTGAGGAGAGCCCTGCCTTGCCCGTCCGGCTTCTGCTGGTGCCCGGGGTCCTGGGGGTATGCTGGCCACGGCCCCACAGTTTTCCGTCCCTGCTCAGCCCCGGCAGGAGCTTCTCCCCGCATCCGTGCCTCCTCCGCTCTGAGGACAGCGGTCACGGGAGATCAGGGCCCACCTCCTCCAGTGTGACTTCGTTTTAACCGACAACTTCATCACATCTGCAGAGACCCTATTTCCAAATAAGGTCACGGTCATAGGTACCGGGAGTTAGGACTTCAACATATCTTTTGGGGGAGGCCACAATTCGACCCATAACACCTATGACCCTTTGGGGGAGGAACCCACCTTTGTCTCTCAGCCAGGCCATGGGGACAGGGCCAGGATAGGGCACATTGCCATCGGGAGAGGGGCCCAGCTGCCAATGATGGAGGGGGGTTGGGTCTCCGGACCCAGACTGTTCCATCGGCCTAGCCCTCGGGGCTGACCACCCACCCCTCCTGCTGCAGGGGACCCAAATCCTCACCACATCCTCAATGGTTGTGGGCACCCCCCACAGCCAGGCTGGGGCATGGCCCCTGCGGACAGGACCCTCCCCACCCACCCGCCCACTCTCCCAAGACCCCGGGGCTGCTCTCTTGAGCCCCCAGGGTTCCCTGCCCTGCTGGGGGTGCAGGACATCTGCGCATTGTCTTTCCCCTAAAGGGGCTCTGGGGCACCAAACTGGCCAGGCCACCACGATGAAAAGCCCCAACTTCCAATCTGGATCATTGGCTGCTTCTGGAGTCTTTTTAAAATACATTCTGCATGTTTCCCCAGATGCTCTCGGGTGATGAGTTTCTGAGATGCTGAGCAGAAGGGGTGAGGGTGTCTTCCTTCCCCAACTCACCCCCACCCTGGAAATCTGTCATCCACAGTGGGTCCTCCTCCAGCTTTGGGCTGGGGAACAGGCGGCTGCCCTCTGGGGCCCATCTACGGGGGCTGGGGGGTGGTCTCTGGAGTCCGTAGGATGAGGAGGAGTTTCTGAAGAACGGAGGGCTCTCAGCAGCCCCCCTAAGGGTTAGAGGGGGCTGGTGGGATCCCAAGTGCCTGATAAATGGTTAAGAGGAAAGGTCCCTGGGAAGCTTTGTCTGGGAGGCACATCCTGTGGGGGGTCGGTCACGCTGGGAGCTAGAGACCCAGGCTCAGGCCAATGTCAGCACTTCCGGGCAGGGGTGACATCCCCTCTCGGAGCCTCCATGTACTGCTCGGTCAGATAGGGGTGACAGTGGTCCCCGGGAGGTCCTGTGTGACTCAGGGGTGCCCTCCATGTGGGAGCCTGGCAGGTCTGTGCTCAAGGATGCCACCCAGGCCTCATGGATGGATTCCTCCGAGGGAGCCTGCCCTCACCCCGCTGTTCGTGGAGAGCGCCTAGGGGGGACGTGGGCGGGCAGGGGTGGCTGGGGGACAGCTCCCAGCGCCCCAGGGATGGAACCGGAGACAGTGTGTGCGTGTGCTCACGTGGGTACAGTAAATGCCCTTCCGTGACCAGAGCCAACAACTGCTCTCTTTATTTACGGTGAATTCTGAGATGAGAGCTGGTTTCTGGATGGTAAACCAATCCGGCATACCTGGGATAAACCCCAGGGGTCAAGACGCAGTACCCTTTCTAAATATTGCTAGATTGGACAGGATAAAGATTTCGTTAAGGATTTTTGCCTCTATATCCGTGAGGGATGTTTGTGCTGTGTCCTCGATCTGTCTGTGTCCGCTCGGGTCATCGGGGTAATGCTGGCCTCTTCTACGTCTCTGAGAGTCTGTTCAGCACGGGCATGATTTTTTCTTTAGCCCTCAGATCTCAGGCCTCTCCTTTCCTAACGTCTCAGTAACCACCACTCAGTGGAGCTGACCCTTCAGTTTACAGCTGACTCTGGGGAGAGGAGGGGAGAGGTGGGGGGGGAGAAGGGAGGGGAGAGGGAAAGGGAGGGGAGGGGAGACGGGAGGGGAGGGGACTTAGCCATATTTTACAGGCAAGAAGAAGTATAGTTGATGCATAGTGTTACATTAGTTTCAGGTGTACTGCTTTAAAAAAAAAAAAACAAAGTCAAATCCCACCGTGCCAGAGGGCTGCCATGTTGTCTGAAGTCAGCCTCGGCCAGACTCCCTGCCACTATGCCAGGCTGGATGTCAGGTAGGGCAGGATCAAGCCCCAGGAGCTGTCTGTACACCTCCTCCACCCTTCCTTCCCCTCCCCCGCCATCAGCTGGACCCAGACCCCAGAGGCTTCAGCTTGCTCCTCCTGGGGGCTGGAGCTGGTCCTGAATTCACCCAGTGCCCTCCCACCTCTAATCTTTCCCATCCCGTCCACCCAGCATCCCGCCCCCACGCCCAGCCACCGTGGCAAAGGTGATCCCTTCCCAGAGTGTGGAAGAACAGGAATCCAGAGACTACCTGCAAGAACGGTGACCATGGAAACCTGCAAAGGTCATTTCCCTGGCTGAGCAGGAATGTGTGGCTTGTCCCTGATGTTGCTGTGACTAAGGGCTCCGAGGGGGTGCGGACAGCAGGGCCGTAGCATGTTAGGGGGGATCTGGGCAGATCCTCTTTGACAGAGAAGGTGGCCACCCCAGCCCTCAGGGGCTCCTGGTGCTGTAAGGAAAAGGCCTGAGGACATGTCCCCTCAAGGCAACCCGGCCCCAAAGGCGTGGGCCAGAGCTTCCCACACCTGGGTTGCCTCTGTCCAGGTCACGTGGTCAGAGGGCCAAGCTGGAGGTGGGCTGGGCAGGGTGGTGGAACGCCCACATGGGAGTCAGATCCGGCTTCAAACGCCCTCTGAGCCTCAGTTCCCCCTCTATAAAATGGGGTTAATACTAGCCCTGCATAGGTGGGAGCATTAGAGCAAGGGATGCAGAGCACCCAGCTTAGGCCTGGCACACTAAAGGTTGCAAAGGAAAGGATGAGCCGCCTGGACCACCGCGGCCCCAGAGAGGACCGCGCATGTCCCCTGGGCGCTCGGGGCAGAATGCTTAGGGGCTTGGATGGGCAGGCGTCGGGTGGGAGCTCGGGAACCTGGAGGTGGGCGTGTGCCCATGTCCCGGTGGGACCAGTGCGGGCCGGCTCCTGGCGTGGCTCGCCCGGACCCTGGTGTGGGGGTGGGCAGGGCAGGGCGGGGTGTGGAGGGTCTGTGCTCCTCCCCCGCGAGAGCGGTTTTTCTGGAAAGCTGTTACAGGAGCATCAGACGGAGGGGGGGAGGACCTCTCAGGGTGGC